TCGGCAAACCTTAAATTCCCTGAGACATTTAACCACCTACAGTATCATATTCCCAGCTCATCACTCTGCCACTTCATTTGCAATGTATTAAACAAAACTCGTCGTAGCAGGTGAAGTTGATGAAGCTTGATGGGTGTAATTTTTGGATGCAGCAGCACAGCTGGCAGGGCTGTGCCCAGCATCAAGGACACCGGGGAGGAAGGTATGCAAATGCACACAGCTCTAATCAATTAGAAACAAGATGAAAATGAAGAACAACTTAGTGGCACCATAGCTGGGGAACAGAAGCGAAACCCACGCTGCATGTTTAGGAACACCAGTCTAAGCTTAGGCCTCAGACGGTGTCTCAGGCCTTAGAATGTGTACAGTATGTCTAACAGATTACACAACAAAGTGATGCTCCAGTTTGGGCACCAGTTCTAGCTCTAGTTAAATTTTGTTCCGTGAAACTGACCACAGCTGAAAATGATCCGTCATATGATGTTTACTTTCTCCCATAGATTTCATTACACAGATTTGCAGCACACGCTGTTTCGCTCTGAAATGCTTTAGCAACGTTTACTCTAGCACCAAATGGGGCTCTCCAAACGTGCTGATTTATTCATACTGTAGCAAGACTGAGAGAGAGAGAGAGAGAGAGAGAGGGAGACTGAGAGAGAGAGAGAGAGAGAGAGAGAGAGAGAGAGGGAGAGAGAGCAAAAGAGAGTGAGAGAGAATGAGAACGCGAGAGAGAGAGGGAGAAAGCAAGAGTGAGAGACAGAGAGAGAGAGAAAGACAGGCATACAGAGAGAGAGAGAGAAGGAGATAGAGACAAACAGACACATAGACAGACAGAGAAACGTGGAGAAAGAGGCAGAGGGAAAGAACAGAGAAAGACAGTAAATGGAGTTGTGTGTACATATGTGTACTTAACTCTTTGTGGGGAACTGAAACAGCCAGGATGCAAGGCTAGGTATTAAAGGGAAACTCCACCGTTTTTTCAAAAATTCTGTATAATTAAATGGTTAAGATGTAAACAAAGTCATTCAGAGTAGTTTGGTACAAAATGCTTAATTCTAGAGAAAGTCAGAAGTCAGAATTGTTTACAGCAGTAGTGATAGGAACCAGACGTCTGAAGACTTTAAGTCCTCTGAAAGCTACATCACAGAAAGTTGTTGCATTAAATGGTTATGAATACTCAGCCTGATGTTATATGATATGAGAGTTTTGGCCTAAAACGTATTTTAATCAATTTATTCTAATCTGGTCATGATGGAGGGATACATTATGGGTGTTCTAAGGTAAAATAGTCCCCAAAGAAGACTCTTTTTTTTCTTCGCTTTTTTACCATCATCAACATTACATATAAAAACCCCAGAGGACTTATGTATGTTGCTGGTTTTGGATATTAAGTAAAATGGCTATATTTGTTGGTTTCAACACCACTGTAAAGAAATCAGAGTCAGTAAGTTTCTCTATAAATTAACTATTTCGCATCAAACCACTCTGAATGACATTGTTTACATTTCAACCTCTGAATTATGCAGACATTTAGAAAAATTGGTGGAATTCCCCTTTTAAAGTTTCTGAGTCAAGGTTGCCAAAAGTTTGGCCTGTGAGGACACCAGTAAGGCACCCTAACCGCATCCTCTACCCAATGAGAGAACAAGCATATTGTGTTCATTGGTAGGATCGTAGAGGTGTACAAAGATATTTTGGATGCAAACCTACAAAAGTCTACAAAGATGAAATTATCTGAAACACACTGGACGTCTTTTGAAAGATTTATTTATTTATTATGGTCTGTTTAATATAAATGCCACTTAGTTTGACATTTTGCTTCATAACACAGTGAACACAAGTATGGGACACATGACCAGATGCTTTTTGAGGCCACTGTATGTTTGTGTTGTAGACATGGTGACCCTTTCACTAATGCAGAAAAAATGCAAAATCAGGCAAATTCCCCTTTAGGATTATTCATTTTTTCCTTTTTATAGTTCTATGTGGATCTGGTAGGTCTGTGTGTCTTTGCTAGACTCCCACATAAATATTCGTCCGTTCAGCTGGAGGTTATTTCCTAGTGAGCCATCTTTCTGAAAGGGGACGTCTGTGTCGTCGTATTTTAAGGCGCACCATGGCGAATGTGCTTGTGGCATAAATATCATTGTGCTGCACGTGCTGCTTGAGATTCATATAGGTCAGCCGCATGCATTAGGCCAGGCACGGCCGATGTTGGACTCAGACAGCAAGGCGGGAGCTGGAGGCCAGATGTGTGCCTACATGAGGGAAGGACACATGGGGACTTATGGAGGGGGCCAAGTGTTTGGATTTGAACCAAGAACAGCAGCGGCCCACCTTCAGAAGGGAACGTCCCCTCCAGGCTTTGGGATGGACCGCCTTGGCCTTTTATCTTCCAGTTCAGGGCTCTGTTTTTTGCAGATAAATGCTTCCCAATCCACCATGACAGATGTCACAATGCATCGTCTCTATTTTGATACGTACCCTCTGATCCTGCCACAAACAATAAAGAGACCGTGCGAGGGCTGGTCCCGTCCCCAGACACAGCGCCAACACCATGGAACCATGGGAATACCAATAAGCTGGGGTCCAGGGTGCACAGGAGGTTTATAGGATGGGTGGCACCAGCATGACTGTACACTCTTACAAGTAAAAATTAAAATAAATAAACAAATAAATAAATTTTACACTTTTTGGTTCCCTACAGAACCTTTTATTGTATTTTATACATTTATTTTGTAAATGAGATGTCAGAGTGTGAACAACAAGTTTGAAGACCCTCCAAATAACATAACATGTTCTATGCCAGTTAATGGTATTCTTAAAAACTTCTTTGGAGTGCTGCCATAGAAGAAACACATTTGATTGGTTCTTTATGGAACCAGTTTAGTAAATAGGATGCACGAGTGTGAACAACCTTTTAAAGTTTAAAGAACCCTCAAAATGAGGTAAAGATACTATGGTAACAATTTACTGTAGGGCACAATTCATAAGGCTACATGACAGGCACATAAGCTTGCCATGACAACTGACATAGCCCTACATAAAAGTTTATAAATGCTTATTCCAATAGGCATCATCTGTCATAAAGGCTACTTTAGCTAACTTCGATCAAAATTGGCAAATACAGCCTTTATAGCAAATGACGTCTGTTAGAATAGGCATTTATAAACATTTATGTAAGTCTATGTCAGTCATCTTGACAAGCTTATGTAGATGTCATGTAGCCTTATGAACCGTACCCTACAGTAAAATGTTACCGATCCTATAATAGTTAATGTTTTTCTTATCTTAAACATAAGGTGCTCATAAAGATTCTTTTATGCGATAACATAGAAGAACCATTTTCGGTTCCCTTAAGAACTTTTCAATTGTTGGTTCTTTTAAGAACTGTTTTTGTGAAGGAGATTTTTGAACGTGAAAAATCTCCTTTATGGCTGATGCAAAAAAGTAGCTATTTCTGCTCTTTTTCTCTTTTAATCATGTGATTTCTAAGTGCTGTTGCTGCTTTATTTGATATATATAAAGAATGTGATCTACAAAGGCATGAATTTGTAGATTTTTTTGTGGTTTTGAACAAGAAAATACATTCATAGGAATGTAACAGTCACACATCAGATGCATTGGATTGTTACTGACTAAACAAAACAATAATAAGCTCTTACCAATCCGAATTGCACTCTGAATGATCTCACATGCTCACTCAGTGCATGCAGCAATAAAGAAGCCCAATGAATCTCTTGTTACATTTCAATCTGGCCAACTTACATATGCGTGCACCGTAACTATAGGGTCAATCTCTAACTTCACAGAATGGATTGCCGGCGCGATGCATGGCTTGATACGCTTAAAGCTTAAAGAACTCTGACATAATGTAAAGGTTCTATTTATTTTATACACACACAACTTATAATGGCAAACATATATGCATTCATGGGATCCTGCTGGTGTGGGTTCGTGCCAGTTTCCTCCCTTTCACTGATGCTAATAAAGTCTACTTGAGTGCAGAAAGCTCCCCTTTGCAGAGAATCTTCAGCCTGCCCTATGTGAATGAGTGAGTGAGTTAAGCTGGTTTCACACTGAACATGGTATGCGCTGCACTCGTCACTCATGTCTGCAACAAGCTGCTTCCACACAACTCGCAGTATGTGCAGCACTCGCCGGTTGGGTGCAAAAATGGGAAGTACTCTCCAATAAAACTAGAGTAGGAACTACCAGACACGCCTACTCCTCTCTTATTGTCTGCACTGAGACTTGGCAGATGCGTCTCACAAAAGCTAAAAACATTTGAACTTTTTATGACCCTGACCGTCTGCCGCAGCAGACTCCATTTTCCGCTGCGCTTGCAGCTGAGCTTCACACAGCGAAAATCCGCATCTGTGCAGCGCAACCCATTGAACATAATGTGTTTGAAAGCGCAGCGGTGAATTTCTCGCGTTCAAAGTGAAAGCAGCTTTAGATAGTTGGTTGGTTGGTCAATTACAGGCTTCACGTGTAATAAAATTTCTAATGGAACAGTGATTATTTTGTTATTTGTCAGTGTGACCAGTAAACGATTGTAGAAGTACTAAATCAGCAGAACTTAAGCACAGTTTAAGGGCAAAGTGAGAAATAAATAGGCCACACTCTGTAAAATTCAAGGTCAGCAGTAGTGAGAGTCCTGCTCTGTCTGTGTGTTAGAGTGCTTAGTTACTCGCTCTCACTAGCCTGCTTCTGGCCATTGCCTCAGGGCTCTCACTACAGCAGAGCACTCCTACCACCTCAGGCCTGCCCACATTTTCAAAGGAGGGGTTGAACCCAATTATCGGCCAAATTAAAATGAACAGACTTGGCACGGGGAACAATGACTGCTGTGACTCCGCTCCACGAGCTAAATGGGCCAGACCAAAAAACAGTCCCTGTTTTTGCACGGTGGCTACGGTCCAGAAAGCAGCACGGGGGGTTAAGTGGGAGGCGGGTGAAGTGAAAGTGTTTCATTCTGCGTGTGCTCTTTGTTTCAGAAGACAGGAAGCTGTTCGTGGGGATGCTGAACAAACAGCAGACAGAGGAGGACGTCTATCGCCTATTTGAGCCCTATGGAGTCATCGAGGAGTGCACCGTGCTAAGAGGCCCTGACGGAAACAGCAAAGGTAGGACCATTTGTGTCGACCCATAATGACAATTGGAGCGCAGAATCTGCTAGCGACTGTTATTTAGCTTTAAAAATGGCTTGTTATACAAAAAATGTGTCGACAAGGGACATGTAGTAGCTGTAAGGGAAACATAAGTGCATATCCGAGCCTTTTTTTTTTTTTTGCAGACTCCATTTATTGCCCACTGAGGCTTTGGGGACAGTGATAGACACTAATATAGCCTGACATTTAGCAAAGTACCGTGGGAGTTGTAGTTTTCCCCTGCCAGTGCTTATGAAAATTGTTGGGAGATTATTTCCGCAGCTTAGGGAGTAGCTCTCTGAATCGGCAGTCTTATGGATAGGAGGGAGAAAATGACTGTCAAAACGATTCTAGATTTTTCCAAAGACATTTGAGGATGTCGACCTAAAAAAAACCCAGAAACCTACACTTATGAGCAAAAACTGCAATAATGCAATACGAAACTAAAAGATTTCCGTAGTACTCTATGGACCATTCTATTGACTTCAAACTGTGGTCCCACAGTATAAAACACTATTTAAAAAACAATTAAGTAATCAGATTATATCATTATCAGGATTATGTTATGATCCATTCAAACCCAAGACATTACCAGAGATAGTATTAAGCTTAATATATACAAAGTCATATTCATGAGATCCTGCTGGTCTGTGCCAGTTTCCTCCCTTTCACTGATGCTAACAAAGGAGTATGTTATGATCTATTCAAACCCAATACATTAATAGAGATAGCATTAAGCTAAATACATACAAAGTCATAATTTATAGGGTATTTTCTATTGGGGGGGTGTCTGTCCAAAACCCTAACCTCTAAATTTACACTTGTGAATATATTACTTACTTTTTTTCCAATGTTGTTTTTAAGAATATATATTTTTAATTTATTTTGGTGTGAAGTTTAAAAATGTTATTTTACATTTTTATTAAAAAAAAACATTTTTCAAAAAATATCCTATATTTTCATGTCACTACCGAAACACAGTTTTAATCCATAGGCAGAGGCTAATTTTAGCCACATCCCAACAGGAAGTGAGACTGCATCCCTGTCCCTCATGACTACATGGTAAACAGTCAGATCCCATTGTTTTGAAGTAAATGTGTCTGAAAGTCTGAAAATCAGGGTGTAACAGTAAGAATTCTCACTATCAGTGCACATATTTTCTGCCGTTAAGCAAACATTTTTGTGTTTTAATGAAAAACAGTATGGTTTTATGTATGTACATCTGTTTAAAGCTGTGTTTGCTAGTCATGTACTGGCTAGCATTTTGAAGCTATGCTCACTTTCATCTCCCTGAAGTCTTCCTGTAGTACTATGGTAATGATCCTTACTTCCTAAGACTCCTATATGAATCCCGTAGACTTTCCTGTAGTAATGCTATAGTCTTTCTTCATAAGAGTACATTAAAGGCATCAGCCATTCTTGTTTGATGCAGATTCTTGCATAACAGACGTGTTTGTGTTTACTGTGCGTAGACAGGCACTTTTCGCTAACTAGCATGCTTTTCTGCTTAATCAGTGCAGTCTGGAGCACGCAGTCTGGAGCTCCAGCAGCCTGCAGAGGGCTAGCCTGCTGTGATCCGGCAGCTTCGCAGCCCAAATCTAGTGTTTTGACGCACTTCTGTTCACAGTGTTTAATGGAAGTGTTCTGTGTGTTTTCAGGCTGCGCCTTCGTTAAGTTCTCCACACATGCTGAAGCTCAGTCTGCCATCAGTGCCCTGCACGGTAGCCAGACCATGCCGGTGAGTCCACTCTCGTCCACCATTTCTGTTTGGATGGATAGATGGATCCTCTACAGTAACAAAAACACTGCACACATAACACAGAAAATGAACACATACTCACAATACCACTTTTTCTTTTCCATTGTGATACCAGTAGTAAAACCTTGAGTATCACTTGATACCAGTACCAGTCAGATATTTTTTTCTTTATAGGAGACATATCGTACTCTTTTAAAGTATAGAGTATAAAACAAATAACACTTTAATCTATTATTTGTATGATTTTTTTCTAACCATCATTTGCTCCCCTGTGAAGAATTTTCTGTTGTCCACTGCTCTCACTGGCTCTCTCTCAGTAGAGGGGACAGGGAATAAATCAAATCATGATTAAATCAGTATCATTTTATGTTATTTGAACCAGACAACCTTTCCCACCTAATTACATAAAATATATTCATCAAAATAAATATGATTACTGATTAGCAGTTTTTCTTTTTCCACAAGAAGCTATTAACAGAATGACAAGACAAAGTATCATGATGTCTATAGTACATTTTTTGATGAATCTGTGCACAAAAAGTTCCAAATAACTAATTGTGTATTTATATGGGAGAATAAAGATTTCCTTATTGTTTACTTTTGGAGGCTTAGTTATAACAGTGTGTTAAAACTAACCCTGCCGTGTGGAGTCTGTACTTTAGCCCGTCTAGAGCGCACTGTCAGTGAGTTACATTCTTTAAAAGGGTGCTATATTACAGTCACCAAGAAGCTGAGTAAAATAATGCTGTTGTAAATTCTGTGACTTACAGACACAACTCAGCAACTGAAAAACTCATGATGAAAAAAGTTACTTTTATGGAACAAAAATGAAGAATACTGAGAAATATCTGTCTGCTTGCTTTCAGAGTTCACAGATGAGGTTGCTATGGGAATAAGAGAGGATGACAACCTGTTTAACTACATAAAATATCCATGTTATGTTTTACCTTGTGTCAGTTTATGCCCTGCTTATTCCTTATAAGCCTGTAATTTGAAGGCACTAAAAAAAGAATTAAGGTAGAAATCTACCATCATAGGTGGATGATCTGTCCACTGTTGGCAACAATACCTGTAAAGTTACTTACCGTACAGTAAGCATTCCAAAACGTTCCTGTTGTTTGTTCATTATGCAGTACAAAAGAGAAGGATCCCAAGACAGTCTTGATGTTTACTTTGAAAACCACATGCCACATCCTTATGACACAGCACAGCCAGAATTTGCCAGGAGATTAAAGCACCCATATCAGGGAAAACTGAATTTTACGCAGTTTTTTAAAAAAAAGAGTTTGATGTAGAATGTAAATATTGTTTCCAGTCCCTACAGTCTATATATGGAAACTAAGCTGCAAAAACAGCTCGTTTTGAATTAATTTTTCTGTGATGTCACAAAAACCAATGTTTATATCTGTCGACACAGCCTATTTCAGTGTAGCCCCACCCATTCACACTGACGTTTTAAGGAATGGATCAGCCTGGACTGCCTTTTGTATAAGGCACAATGCAGGGCAGCCAATCAAAACAGAGGTCATTTACACATGTCAGTCACAAAAACAGCCTATTTGATTCTGAGGGATAAAGAGAGGCCATGTAAAAATAAATTATGTCTGTTTTTGGTACATAAATCCACACAAACCTGATAAGTGGACCTGGGGGGGTTGGGGAGGGGATACGAGAAAATTGTAGGATGTGAGCCCTTTTAAATAATTCCCAAACAGAGAAAAATGCGAGTGGTCTTCTTGCCTACAAAGTGTGCGTACATTAATTTAGTTGAATAGGTGTGTAGTTGGCAGGTCTGTGCGTGGCAGAGCTGCAAAAAAGCCTGCTGTTCAGTGCGTGCGGACTGAATCATACAGCTATTCAGCTTCACATGCACTATTCAGCACTCTAAAGTAGCCCTGGAATCTTTCGCTTTCACGGCTGCTTTGTTTGCTACAAAACTCCTGCTGGCTGTCGAATCTCAATGTGTGGCGTTCGGGGTGTGCGTATGCTTATATAGAGAGAAAGAGAGAAGGAGAACAAAAGACAAATGCGCTGGACATGCCAATAAAGCTTATTTGAATTTGAAAAATAAAAATTGAACTAGAGAGAGAAAGAACGAGGGATGCGCCGTCGGCTTTTGGTGTGACAGAGGGGTCAATGTAAGTGCAATTCATGAGAGCTGAATGGTGAAGCATGGTGCGTTTGTGGACAGATATAACCACCCCCATCTCTCTCTCTCTCTCTCTCTCTCTCTCTCTCTCTCTCTCTCTCTCTCTCTCTCTCTCTCCCTTACGCACACACATGCATACCCTCCTCTCTCCATCCTCCCGGGATATTAGGCAATAGACTTGTTTACCTCACCTTTCACCAAATCGGCTGGTGAATTATTCATTGGCTTATAAGCAGGAGGGCAGAGAAAGAGTGATGGAGAGAGAGAGAGAGGATGTGTGAGAGAGAGGGGGGACAGGGAAGCATCCAGAGGCTGAATTGAACATGCGTGTTGCATTCTCGTAGAGTAAATTCATTATAAAGCCCCTTATCACACTCTGTACCCCAGTGTACACAGCTGGGGGGGAGGGGGGGGGTTGAGGTGACTGACCGCCTGACCTCGGCCTGCTTCTGGCCTTTAGGAATACTGTTTACCCCCAGCAGGGAGCTTCTTCATGAGGAAGAGCTGGGGGAAACATCAGCCCTCACTCAGCAGCGCAGCAAAACATGAAAGGTCATCAACCCTCAGACCTTCCAGATCCTCCAAGCCGGTCACTCAGAGGCCTTTAAACCGAAATATTTTGAACCGAAAGGGATTTTAAGATGTTTTATTAATTGTATCAATAGTTATTACACACTGGAAATTCTATACTGTGATTAACTATTTACAGCCATTTACAATTATCTTAACCTTATAAAATCCCAGGTTCATTACATTCTAAGGCTTATTATTTAGTAACTACAGGGATTTCAGTACAAAGCACTTGAGCTATTCTTAGGTTATAGAAGTGCGTAATAAAACTTTGGGCCTGCCGATGGGTCCTGGCCGTTTCAGGGGTTAAAACTGAAATTCTTAAAATGTCCAATGAAAAATTGACCAATCAGAAATGAGTTTTTCTCTGTGGTATCTTAGTAGATATAGTTACGCTAGCTCTCTTAGTGGTGAGGACTTGTTTGAGATGGAAAACAGCAGCAGCTACTCTATGCTAGTGCTCCCTACTGAATGTCTACTTGTCCCTTCACTGCGAAACTGCTGTGAAGTAAAATATATGCTAATATTTCTGTCAAATGCTTCAAATAAAACACGGAATGTCTTTTAGAAGCTTCAAATGTCTGTTTTTAGTCTAGAATGGCCAAAACATGCTTCGCTTAGCACTAACAAACTACTAGAGTTCCACAGCTAGCAGAAGTTAGCTTTATCATAGAGGTGGGTTTTTCCATGTGTTTTGATCATGTTTTGACTCTTTTTATTAAACAGCAGGACTTCCTGTAATACAGTTGCTAAAGTGTCCTGTTCATATTTCCTCCACCTTTAATAATGTCTCTGATACTGACTAGTAAGCTAGGTAGCTAACTAAGCTAGCTAGCAGCTATCATTAGCTAGCAGAAAACAACTGGTGCCTAACACAGCATTAGCAGTTTAGCTAATTTCACTTAATGAAGTATGATAGAGGTTTTAAGCAACACCTCTTTACACTGATGTCACTACATGTAACTTACATTTTACACTAACCCTGTTTTGTAAAACTTGTTGGTGTAGCTTCTTTACGCTAGCCATTGTTTTCCAACCCTGGACTCACTGCCCAGCACATGTTCCTGCTTTAACACACTCACTTCAACTCAGTAACGGGGTTGATACGGAGTGGATTAGTTGGATCTGGTGTATTGGGATCAGTAAAATGTGCCGAGCAGTTGGCCTCTGCGATCTGGGTTAGGAAACACTGTGCTAGGCTGTTAGTGTGATGTGTAACAGAGGAGTGAAATATAGTAAATAATGGTATATAATGAGACTTGAGAAGACATATGATACAGTATGATATACAGTGCATTACGCTATGATATGGACAATGGCACAATGTTTTGCTTATAGTTTCGAAGATAAACACAAAGAGAGTGCATGTTTATGGTATTGCGCATTGATTTGCAGGTAGGGTAAGCAGCTTGATGTTGAGGTGTTTCGAATGCAAACACTGTAGCTGAGTGAGGCTCTATCCTCTCAGGCTGGGGTCACTTCCCCCTGGCATAGCAAAACCCCTCTCTCTATGCATTATATTCATGCATACATGCATGCATGCCTGAATACTCCCCTCTGCACTCCCACCCCTCTCTTTCTCTCCCTCTTACCCTCACTGTCACAAGCCTACAGTATAGGTCCGAATACACACACACTGACCTGATTTTCCAGTTCGGGTAACTTACACTGACTGTATTTGACTATATGAGACTGTAATTGAATGTGTGTGTGTGCATATTCTGTGCGCTATAATCAATTATAATAATATTTGCTGAAATATATAATAGAACTGCACAGTTTGTTGTATCTTTATCACCATTGTGATAAGAGTGACTGCAATTAACAAATCATTAAGATCTGCAATAACAGAACAGGTCAAATGACATGATTATCTTGCTGGGAATGTAGCCTTAGGAGTGCCGTCTAACATTACAGCAGTTGTGGTCTCCCATGAGCCAGACTCAAAGCCCCACTCCTGAGTGAGTGACTTAACCACTCTGCTATAAAGCCAATTGCAAAGCACACACATATGTGCACAGCTCAAAAATAACATCCTTAACTGTAAAATGCCAAACAAGCTAAAATCTAAGGACTTAAATATGTATTTTTTTTTTTTTTTGTAGGCTTAGATAAAAATAGAAACTGTTCAGGGAATGCTTTGTTTTGTTAACAGCCTCAAAGAATGTGCTTGTAATTGTAATGTAAATAGCTATTAGTATTATATTATTTTATATTTTGCACTTAGAGCAATGGTGTTTTTTTTCCTTCATGAATGAGA